TATTACAAATGTAAGAAACATCCTCACTGGAGGGAGCGGGCGGGGGGGGGGGGGGTGAGGGGAATTAAGTGCCTTCCAGATGGGCGTGGTCTGCAAGACGAAAGGGGAAGCAAACCCAGGTAAAGCGCTGTGCTCTATCAGCTCACAAAGTGGCCTCTGACGTGTGGTGCAGGTCAGCAATTGTGAAACCACTATCACGGGTCCTGGGATTGAACAATTCGATAAACAGATGGCAGAGAGTGGCCAGGTGTCTCACTATCGGTGGGGAGGTGATGGATTAGCCAGGGAAGGGACCACATGCATGGATCCATGTGGCCGTGGATTGGACTGGAGACCTCAGTATGCACTCATATTGAGCTGAATACAGATACAGGTGGTTACACACAGAAGCATTTGTAGATACACACATATTCACAAGTTAGTACACACAAATACTCACGTGCGCGCACGCACACACACAGTTTGGTGCTCCGGAAGTGAGTGCAACCCAAAGGCAATGAGCACACCCAGCACCCAGATCTTGGTTCCTACGACCATTCTCCAGTAAGAAGAACCAGGCTCCTGGACGACTGGCGGGCTCTAGGTCTGGGCAAGAAATACACAGGATGAACCTGGGGAACCTTCTAGTACCAGAAAGTAAGCAAGGGGTCAAAAACTAATGACCCACACTGAGGGTTCTGTCCAAGGGACTCAGGAGCCACTGAAAGAGCTTCCAGTGGCCAGAGCTGGAACAGTGGGAGCAACGAAATGAAGCATGGGGTCCTGACCCAGATCATGAATTAAATACTCATCAGCCCACATGGATAGGAATAACCGAGGGTAAATGAATATTAGAGTAAATAAATGAATGGGGGAGAAAAGGCAAACCTCCGTGCAGAATTCTGTCACATGTGTGGATACTCTGTCCTCGAGGACATGGCACTTAACTCCCCATGTGTTGGCTGTGGGCTGTGCTTAGTGGCTTCCTTCCAAAGAGGACAGTCCATAAAGGGGAAAAGAGAGGGACCGCACAGCTGGGACCTGACACGCACCCCAGCCAGGTGACCAAGGCCAGTGTCACGGGGACCAGGCTGGTGCGGAGCACGGGCCCGGACGTGATGGAGTGGGAGGGCGTTTCACCCTGGGGTCCTCCCTCCAAACCCACAACCCGGTCTGACCATGATGCACACACCAGACAAACCCCAATAAGGGGGCTATTCCACAAAACGCCTGACCAGTTCCCAAAACGACCAAGGTCAGCACAAATAAGGAAAGCCCTAGAAACTGTCACAACGAAGAGGGCTCTAGAGTGACAAGACAGCTACCTGCTATGAGGGTTCCTGGGGCAGAAAAGGGACATTAACTACTAATAAACTATGAAGAAAGCATGCACTGTAGTTAATAGCAACCTATCTGGACTGGTTCATTAATTACAAAATGCTCCCTACTCTGATAAGACAGGAATCAGGGCAAATGGGCTACAGGGTGCAAGTGGAACATTCTGGGATAGCTTCGTAACAATTCTGCAAATCAAAAACTGCTCTCACATCATTATTGTTCTTGTGTAGGCATTAAAGGCTCACGAGGCCCGTGCTGCAGGTGATGGTTTGATGGGACAATGCTGCTGCTGACCCGTCCCCAGCTGGCCCCCTGAGGAGATGCTCCTGACCACAGGGCCTTTGCCCATGGCCATGTGTATGGCCGTGTGTGCACGTCATGACATGGGTCGCTGTGAGGAGTGCCAGACTGACCTCCTCTGCCCCTGGCCAGCCCTGGCAGATGTCCCAAAGCCCAGGGCCCCTCCTGCGGGCCCTCGTCCCTGTGCTCACCCCAATTCCTTGCTTGACAGTGCTGCATCTTCCTCGGCTACGTGCACCTTAATGAGTCACCTAGACCCTTACTGAAACATGACCCTGAAATAATTGGATATTCTACCCGAGCTCCCATTTCCAGACAAGTCTCTCTGTACCAGGAAGTGCATCTGACCAGGCCAATGCACCTGGACCCCCTCCATGGGGGGGGGGGGGGGGGGCAGTCTTCCCGCAGACCTCATCTGTGTGTCACCCACCCTCTGCACGCTGACATTTATGAGGTTCCAGAACCATGTCTGCTCAAACTGCCCCTCTCCTGTTTACCCATCCAAGAAGCCCTGTCTGTTCTCAAAGCCAACGCTCGGAGGGGGCGCTGCTTCAGCGTACGGGGATCCAGAGTGGCCACGGAAGCTTCTAATTGGGCCGTGTGGGAGCTGGGAGGGGCTCCCGGGAGCCGGGCTGCAGTGACACGTGGCGGCGCGGGGCACGTCTCGGCACAGATGACAAATAGCAGCCTGACAAGCTGATGAGCTACCACCGCCCTGGAAACTAACTGCGTAATTGGATCTCCTAAGTGAAGTCCAGACACATCACAGGTGCCCGGTGAGATCCACTCAATCAATGAAAATTCTGTTTTTTACTTCTCAATACGTTCCAAGAGTTGAAAGATGTTTCTGGCTTTATTAACACCCCTGGTGTTAATTGTTAATTGTTGTGCCTGGGCTTCTCCTGTGTTGTGCCCAGGCTTCTTGCAAGTTTGGGAACACAGTGTGAAATAAAAGCACTAAACTAATTTTTGCTCAGATTGTTAGTTTTATTTCCTCCCTCAGGGCTCAGAACACCATGCGTCTTGTCCCAGAGGTTCCAGTCAAAGCAGGAGATGCGCCTCGAGACCCCGGTGGGTGAGGCTTTACGTCTTCATACAACTTTTGCTGTTACTTATTAAAATTTCCACCAGACTAGGCACCAGTTATAGCTGTAATCACAGGCTGCTTTGTTCTCACTGACAGGTTGTTCCATGGAGATTTCTTTACCTCCTGTGCATCCCTCAAGCCGAAAGGGCTGCTTCCCCAACCTCGGGCCCTTGACACATCACTGGACCCTAACAGGTCCTCATGTAACTACGGCTGTAATTATTAAGGGCCCTGGTCACGCTTAGGGTGACCAACTGTGCCAGTTTGTCTGGGACCAAGGAGATTTCCAAACACGGGACTTTCAGTGTGAAAACCCAGGCCATCCCAGGAGATTCGGGACAGGTCGGTCACACGACCTGTTGTCCGGACGCAGCCCATGAGAGCCAACCACGGGTTGTCCCTGTGGGTCCAAAACAAGGAGAAAACAACACCTTGAGTTCCCGTTGTGCTGCTAACATGACAGGACCTTTCTGATGGACGACACTCCACATATGAGACACAAAACACACACTGCTGGTGGATGCCCCGATGTTCCTGCCCCGCAGGTACCGTCATCGACGGAGTACCTCACATCGCCGTTCTCCCCTGACTCTCTGCGGCCAGGGCGCCTCCTTGGACTGCAACCTGGGAGCGCTCACCTCCCGTGATTGCCATCCCACATGGATGGCTGTCTCAGACATGTCACGGCTTCTCGGTGTGCTGGCTTCGGGAGGCAAATGGGTCCCCAGGTAAAAGGCCGGCCCAAGAAGGAAACCACAGACACACAACCTCTCCACGTGTGCCCTCCGTGGCCCCCCTTGCCACATGTCCCATCTCCTGGCATCTCAGGCACTGAAGCTGTGGTCAGAAGTTAAACTGAGGAGACACACGCGTCAGCGGTGATCACGGATCATGGCACCGCAGCATGTGCTGGGCAGGGCACGGCTGTATGGGCACAGGTGGGGTTCTGCCCCAGCTCCAGGGGTCAGAGGAGCCCCTAGCAATGATGAGAAAGCTTCATTCTTGAGCTGACACCTGCACCTGCCGTGGGCTCGGTAACTGAGCGGCAGGGCAGGACCCATGTAGGTGACAGTGGTCCAGGCACAGGGCTGGCCAGTCACCAGAAGTGGGGGAGGGGGCGTCGCAGGGACTGAGTCCAAGAGGAACGCTCTCCAGCCTGGGGTGATGAAGCTAGGGGGACAAACACCCCCAGGTGCCATGAAGACTACCTGGGCCCTCTCAGCCAGCCCAGCTCACCGTGTCCCACTACACAGGCTCTCAGCCGGTGACTGCGCTCTGCCCCAGGGGAAACCGGGCAATGTCAGCACACAGTCTGGCTGTCACAGCCAGGGTGCGACTGACTAGTGCCTGGGGTGGAGGCCAGCAAGGCTGTAAACATCCTACAACCCAGGACACAGCCCCCCCACAAACAGCCATCCAGCCCCACAATGGAGTACGATCCCCCACAAAAAGGAAGGAAATCCCACCACTAGGACAGCATGGATGGACCTCGAGGGCACCATGTGAAGTGAACTAAGTCAGACGCCACATGATACCGCTTACACACCGAATCCAAAAGCACCGACCCCCAAAACACAGCAGACTGCTGGCTGCCAGAGGCGGGATGGGGTCAGCATGCAGGTGGCCAACGGTACAAACTTCTAGTCACAGCTGAGACAGCAGATCTTAAAAGTTCTCCTCACAACTCTAACTCTGTGCTCACCAACTTTAACCAGACTTGTGGTCCTCAGTGCACAATGTAACCAAGTATCCAAGTATCCAATCCCCAGCCCCAGCCTGAAACTAACACTATGTTACGGATCTGCTATATAGAACTAGGCGGGAGGGAAGATGAAATAAAAGTCAATGCTCATTTGAAATTGTTTAAAGAAGAAATCGTCCAGCCCCACGGGTGGAGGGCACTGAGTTCGGGAAGCTCTGTGCTATTCTGACCCACTAACGATGAGCAGCCCACACGCGTAAGGAGGTGGGTTTCCAGCAGGGGGAGCAAGGCGGGCGCATGTAAGCGCGTCTCCCACGGCGGACACAACAGCGCCACACGCCTTACCATCCACCCTTCATTCCTTCACTTACCCCACAGCAGTACATGAGCACCTACTGTGTGCCAGGCGCCATGCTGGCTGCACACCTCAGCCCTTATCCAGAACTCACACGGGAGCAAGAAAGTACTTTCAAAAACCCAGTAAAATGGTTAAGTGTTGCACGTGCGTGTGGGGTCTGATAACAGAAGCATGTTTTTGGACGGAGCCCGTGCTTCCTCGAGGCTTACCGGAGTCCTCACCAACCCAGGACCCACCTCCAGTCTCCAGGTCATGGAAATTCGGATCCAGGCCTCGTTCCAGCATTTTGACAATCTTCTCCACCGAACGGTGCTGAATGTGGTCCATGAATTTTTTCAGATTGGTCTAAGGGGAAAAATAAAAAAACAGAAATGCCTTTACAGGTCCCAGGAAGGCTCCTTATAGGGTTCACTGCAGCCTGGAGAGGGAGCCATCGGGGCACGGCAGACCCGCCAGGCAGGGGCTCGCTGCATCTGGAGCCCAAGCACCAAGCGTGGAGTCCAGCACCGGGCAAATGCAACCAGCCTGTCTTGGATGAAGGTTCTAGAACTCTCTCGCCTTTCACATCTGTGCCAAGAGCCACGGGACATTCCTTCGCTTCTGAAAGGATGAGCCACCGGGACCACTTTGATAAACTACAGTGTCCAGGGTCCACCCCAGAGCTTCAGACTCCCATCTCCGGGGAGCGAGGCCCGAGGATTGACATTTGTGCTCTCTAATCTCTTAAGCAGCAGCTGCAATGGAGAGCAGAGAGGGGAGCCTCTTGCTCAGCTAATCCGCTTTCTGGTGAACCCTGTGACTACGTGGACAGAAACAGGGAAGCCTGGTCACAAAGCAATTCAAGGTGAAAAGAGACAATCACTTCTCGTGGGGTCAAAACGATCCGTGGGTCAACCCTGGTGGGGAGGGATGTTTCCCCAGCTTAGCCCGGCCTTGTCTGTAACAGAAATCATGATTTCCTGCCATGGAGCAGACAGCCCCAGCCTCCTGAGGATAACCACAGTATCGCGTCTGCCTCCATCTGAAGAAGCGAACTCGACACAGGCTGGCTCTCCACTTGCACACTCTACCTACATTCCAGAGCCAAAATTAACAAATACCCAAAGACACAAGACACACTTGTGGAAACATTTTAGTAATTGATTTTTTTTTTTAATCCAAAAAGCACATTTTTATCTACACTTTAGGTCATCAAAAAAACTAGAAGCTTCCAGACCCTGGGGTTGAACCACCACCCTTCAGGCCGATTCCAGGGTTGGGCAGGGATGTGCATGAGGACCCGGAGAATGAGTTGTGCCACAAAGTTGTCAGTGCTCAGAGGACAGTGAGGACACACCAGAGGGCAGGGAGCCAGGCAGAAGGGCCGCCAACGGCCACCTCTGGACAACCTGAGCACATTAATAAATAATGGTGCATTATAATCCGTTGAGCACAATAAAAATCCACACAACTGTTCTGATACAAATGGGGGACAGAACAAACGGCGGTGGATCCCACTGGTTGCAAACATCCGCTGTGGGCTCACAGCACCAGGTAAGCTCGCCTGGGCAGCACCAGGGTGGGCCACGGGCAGCATCCACGCAGATTCCTGACACGGCCTTTCCCTGTGTGCCACATCCTCAAGAATCCTCCTCGGCGCTAACGTGGGGGCGACCACGGTCCAGCCCCAGCACCCCAACAAAGGGGAGGAGTTCCTGCCCGTGGACATGCACAGAGACCCCGACAAAGGGCAGGAGTTCCTGCCGCAAGTCCAGCCAGGAAGCCAACGCTCATGGACGGCAGCCCGCAGCTCTTGACTTCAACCCTCTCCTTCCCGCCGCTGCCGGCCCCCGCCACGGCCACGGGCAGGCCTCACCTCCCTGCGGTTTGTGTAAACAGCTCGTTAATCGCTCCGTGTTCAATGTGACCTGTCTGTCGGCAGTGGTGGCTCAAAGGGCTTCCCCTCCTCTCAGAAACACCCAGGCGGGGACATGCACACAGCAGCATCCCCTCTGAGGCTGTCCACATGCAAGTTGTCACCCAGCATGTTTTCGTCACCCAGGAGAGCATGACCAAGTCCGGGGGCTCTGCTGGGGACCCAGGAGCGCATGCTCATTCACGTGCTTTAGTCAGGCCCACGCGGGCCATGCCCACAGAGGACACCCGTGCCTGGGCAAGGCATGCACCTTCGATACCATGCACATGTCCGAACCCAGCCTGTTCCAGAGCCCCGCCCTCGAGGAAACCTCATGCACCCCTGCCCGAGCCCCCACCGGCTTCACGGAGCACCCCTGCCCCCAAGCAGCCAGGCAGGCCTCGGGGAGTGATGAAGAAAGGAAGCCCGGCGCCCCTGCACATCCCGGGCCCGCCCACCACGATGTGCGCATGGCAGGTGCCCAGGGGGTGAGAGGGCGCCCCCCAGGAAGAGGAGCAGGGTGCCCAAGGAGCTCCCCTGATCTGCAGAGATGGAACGCCACATACGAGACATGAGGCTGGCGTGTGAAAGCCAGCCATCCCCTCCTACCTTTGTGTGCAGCTTGGCCAACTGCTTCTCGTCCAGATTGGATTGCTTATACACGCGCTTCTTGTATCGAAACTGCACAGAAACGGAAACAGGAAGAGAGAAGACACATGAATACGTCACAGGGTACTCTACGGAAACACGGCCTTGTCCTCAGTGACTTCACAGAAGGCTGGGGGCCCACAGAAAACTCCTCCTGCGTCAGGTAAACTCACCGTGTTCCTACTGCAGACAACTGACATCGCAGGAATCACACCTGTGAAGGCCCGCAGCCACGTGGCTGAAAAGCCAGGGAAAGAAACCAGAGCAACCCGAGGGGATGGAGGCGTCAAATCCTCCCACCGAGAAGCCACGGCCGGCGCTTCTCTCATGAGCCTTGATCGCGGTCCTCACAGCCGTGCGCGTGACCCCGTCAACAAACCAGGACGACCCTTCCACGCCCACCCCTACGAAGCCAGCCTGGTGAAGCCAGCATCCCTGCTGCCGCCTCCGCCCGGGACTCTCAGCAACGTTCAGTCCCTCAAACACAGCGCCTCCCCCAAGCCAGAAACTACACATTTCGCTCCGAGGCAGTCAGTGCCCAAGAGGAACCTACAGGTGTCAGTCTGCCTTGAACCCCAGCACTTGCAACTGATGAACCGCCCAGGGGCCCCCACACCTTCAAGGGACACAACTGAAGGCTGGCCAGGACTTGCACTCACTAAGATTCCCAGTTGAGGCATCTGCTCCGAGTCCAGCCCCGGCAGCGTCCCACCAGTTCTGGCCGGACACTCCCCCCATCTGAGACTCAGCTTCCTGATCTGTCTGTGAGCCCAGCGCCCTGGGCTGCAGTGAGCCCCTTGTCCCCCTTGTCTTCCCCATCAGACCTCTGAGATTTCAAGAGTGCCTGGTAGTGATGTCGGGAGAGGTGGGGGCTCACTAGCTGGCAAGTCTAACAGAATTCAAGTCACATGGACTTCTGGTTATAAAAATACACTAGGGCTGCGGCGCCTGGGTGGTTCAGACATTGAGCGTCTGCCTTTGGCTCGGGTCGTGGTCACAGGGTCCTGGGATCGAGCCCCACATCGGGCTCCCCGCTCAGCAGGGAGTCTGCTTCTTCCCCTCCCTCTGCCTCCCTCTCTCTCTCTGCCTCTCATGAATAACTAAATAAAATCTTTAAAAAAATATATACTAGGCCCCTACCACCTCTTGGCAGGACAGGAAGTGCTCAGAGGAGGATGTCTGTTTCCAAAGTCACCAGCATTTCCAGCTCGTGGCCGCAGAGGGATGCAGGCCCTGGAAGGCAAACCCTTTCCTGCTGTTTCCTCCATGTTTCCTAAGCAGCCAACCACATTCTACCAAAATTCTCAGAGGCAAAGAGCTCACAGCCATGCCTGCCCCTGACGTGTGGAGCGCCAGGCCTGTCTTACTCTGCACCGAGGGTCACCTGGCGGGACAGAGGCGCGGGGAGGTGGCTACGTGGAGGTACATCAGGTCTCTCACAGCAAGGAGCTCACCAGCTCATGCGTGGAGCACCTGGCTGGAGCCTCAAGCCCCCTGAGCAGGTACAACTCATGTTCCCCCGATTTCAAAGCTGGGAACCTGAGGCCCAGAGAGGCTGGGTGGAGGACTCGGGCTGCACAGCTCCCAGGACTGGATCGAGCCCCCCGTGGGGCGATGCACACGGAGGAGCAGAGATGCTCCCCCGCACACCTCTCAGCTCGGCTCCCGGGACACAAGTAGCCAGACAGGACACGGGAGGGCGAATGCATGTGCCTGCCCTTCTAGAAACAGCAGCGGCACCCTGCCCAGGTTACTGTGCATCCCCATGCCCTCCCATTCGGTTCTCAGGGGTGAGCAGGGACCGGCCAGAATCAACTCCTCCAACAGCCTCCCGGATTAAGCGGAGGCTCTGGACGTCCTGGTCTTCTCGCCGGGCTTCACTGTCATTACAGAAATCACCAGTCCCTGAAATGAACCGTTCATTTACTGTTCCCAGTCTGTCACCTCCCACTCGAGTGTCAGCTCTGTAAGACGAGAACCCTGACACCTTGTGCCTGGTGAACATGCTTAGAAAGCGTCTGGTACCTAGGCCCCCAACAAGGGATTTTTTCCCAATGGATACCCATTTTATGGATGAGCAAACTGAGGTCAGAACAGGGTAGCCACAGGACGCCAAGTGGCACCCCATCTTTTCCTCCACCAAAACCCCTCCCTCTGGGCTGACAACTGCTCCGTCTACATGGGGATCCCCAAACCTCAGCCTCGATGTCCCTATCAGGCTTAGAAATGCGCAGATGAGATCCGGCCTTGGTCCATGACCTCTCTGACCTCAAAATGATCTCCTCACTGCAAATGCTGTAGAGCACACCGAGGTTGCTGAAGGGCCCGCTACGCTTCCACACGCACGGCGTCTCCCTGTCTGATGGGGCTGAGGTGAGCGTCCTCACCTGCCACTCCCAGTCCCGCTGTGCAACACGAAAAAAGCCGCTTGCATGGCGGTCTCATACGTCACGGGGGAAGACCACGTGTGAACCTGGGGATGAGGCCAGCCGGGGGCCAGAGAGGCAGGGACTGGTGTCACACCGTACATGGAAGTGCGTCCGGGTGCCCAGCTTGCACACTGACCCATCACACGGCAGGCCCATGGCCACGGCAGGTCTGGGCCCCCGGGTCATTCCCCTGCAAGAAGCTGGAAGTAATGCTTCGGGGCAAAGCTGAACGGGCCCTGGCCACCCCACACCCCAGGGCAGGAAGACCGAGTCGGGGAGGCAGACGCAAGCCCCATCCTGCATCCCCGGACCTGCAGGTCCCAGTGACATGAGCCTGAGTCAGACCCCTCGTGTGCACATCCCAAGATTTCTCCCCAACAGATTCATCCAATCCACAGTAAGGAACCAAAAGGATTCGGAAACTGCGGAGGTGTCTGAAATTCCCAAAACTAAGGGCCACCTCAAGACCCCAAGCTCACTTTTCATGTGGGGGTCATTTCCCAATCCCATTCAAATCTGGAGTTCTGTGAAGTCCTCCCCGGCCCCCACCCCATGTCCAGGCCACGAGGCAGTACCTCCAGGGAGGGGACGCCCTTGCCCACAGGTTGCGGGTACTCGCGCAGGAGCCGCTCCTCGTCCAGGAATTTCCCGTCCCGCCCGTTGCTGGCCGGCTGGAACAGCCCGTAGTTCAGGACGTCCTTCAGGCTCTGGGTCAAGGAGCACAGAATCCGCTGCTTCGCAACCCACACGGTGGCGTCCGGGTTAAACCGGATGCACTTCTGCAGGGAAGGACAAGACACCTGGTCAGTGGCACAGCCCACGCCCACCCGGCACGTGGCCAGATATGTCCAGGTGTTTCCATCCAGGTCCTCTGTGCAGCGGGACCCCCAGCGTTCCAGGATGTCACCTGGACGGAGACCCTGAGTAAATACAAAAGGAGAATGGCGGGGACAGAACCGTGGGCTTTGGTGGCCTTGACTCAGACCCCCGTGGCACCTGTGGTGTTTTTACTGCCTTGGGCCGCTGCTGCCCCCGTGTGGAGCTTCTCCAATCCCAGCGCCTCTGGCAACAGGGCCGAACCGCCCACCCACCCAACAGAGCATCTGGGGCAGCAGGTCTAGGTCGGGCCCCCACCTACACTTCTCACGAGCGTGAACTCAGGGAAGCACACTGTGACGACCGCGGCTCAAGCAAATTACAGCATGATTTAATCTTCACATTGGCGGCACGTCGACATCTCAGGTATGGACGGAGGTCTCCGCTCCTGATCTCTTGGATAGGAACGTCGGCAGCAAGCATCTGCTTGCCCACATGGACTCTGAACGTAACAGCCCTGGGACACCGAGCCCACCCCTCCCAAAGCAGAGAGGAAGGCAACAGTGAAACACAGTATGATTTAAAAATCCCATCAGTGGCCACAAGAGCAATTTTTTAAGATTTTCTTTATTTATTTTGAGAGAGAGAATGAGAGAGAGAGAGAGAGAGAGCATGAGCTGGGTGGGGAGGGGCAGAGGGAGAGGGAGAAGCAGGCTCCCCGCTGAGAAGAGAGCACGACATGGGGCTTGATCCCGGGACTTGGGGATCATGACCTGAGCCGAAGCCAGACGCTTAACCAACTGAGCCACCCAGGCGCCCCAAAAGCTCATTTTTCAAAACTTCAGTAGTGTAGACAGAGCCTGCAAATCAATCACAAACACTTTTCAAAAACCCAGCAGTGCCACTAAGAACCCAAAGGCCGTGCCCTGGCCACGCTCCCGGGTCCCTTCTGTGAGAGTCCACCAATAAGCCACAAAAAACATACACCAGGTCACATCCGCTTCTAACAGAGCCTTCTCGTTTTCCATTGAATTAAAATTATGTTCTATTGAATAGCCATCAGCAGGAGCTCAAGGGCTTGCTTTGTCACCGCAAAAACCTTCAGAAAGGACAGGAGGCTAGGACCAACTGTCTCCTGGGGGTTCTACATGCCCAGGGATGCAGAGGCCCTCCTCCGTGGGGCCTGAGCCTGAGCCTCCGGGAAGCTAGCTGCTCTCAACAATGAGGAGCGTTCAGCAGGCAGCCCAGAATCCCACCGCCCAGGAAACCTGACCCGGCAGGCATGAATGCTCCGTCTGTCCCTCGCCAGTGTCAAAGGCTGAATTCAGGGGTAACCTTGGAGCTCCTCCTGGGGCTACCAGGCTGGGTGGGAGCCGGCTGTTGGCTTCAGAGACGCCTCATGACTGCCTGCAGCCCCGCCCCAGCCCTGGCTGAGTGAGGAGAGTATCAGGAAACTTCAGCACAACAAACTAGATCTGCCCGATGTGACCAGGTGAGGCCGGGGATAACTCGCCACTTTCTGTTTCGGGAGTCCCCACTGGCCTCCGGTTCCAACCACACAGACACTCAACTCAAACTCCCTTGGATACCAGCACCCTAGGAAGGCCTGGGGCCCCCGCACAGCGGCCGCAGCACAGGGGCTATCAGCGGGTGAACACAGAGCGGAGCGCAAGCTGGGACCTGCTCCCAAGAGACCCATGTGATTGCAGGTGATCGCGGGTGATCACAGAGTGCCCACTCCACTTTGGGCAGAGCCACGGATGTGGAGTCTGTGTCCTGGGAGGGGCAGCCCTGCACAACGAAGAACCATCCCGCTCTAAGAAACATCAAGAAGGCCCCATTCAGAAACTTCCAGAAGGAGCAGGAGCTCAGCGGTCAGAAAGGCGCTTACAGCCCAACTGCTCACACTAACCTTATGATCCTGGGTGAACCCACCAGCCCAGCAGCCCCCATTCCCAGGATGAAAATCACGGCACCTACACGCACCTAGCTCACAGGGCTGTTGTTAGGGTCTGAGAGAACATAAATAATCCATGCCATTGGGGGATGACTGTGTCCTGCAACATGCTGACAACCTAACCACCTTTATCTGTGCATGTGATTTATTTGGAAGTAGGGTCTTGGCAGAGTCATCAAGATGAGGTCATAACAGAGCAGGGTGGGCCCTAATCCACCATGACTGTGTCCTTACGAACAAGGGAAACTTGGACACAGATGTGCACGTGCCACATGAAGATGAAGGCGGAGACAGAAGTGTGCATGTACACGTCAAGGAGCGCCATGGATCACCGGCAGACCACCAGCAGCTGGGGCAGAGGCCTGGCCCAGACGCTCCCTCCCAGCCTCAGGGAGGACCCAGTGCTGCCCACGCCCAGATCTTAGACTCGAGCCTCCGGGACCAGGAGACAATGTCTGCGGTTTAAGCCCCATCTGCAGGAGCGGGCTGCAGCGGCCCCAGGAACTAACACGCAGAAAGCTTCATCATGCCCGTCATCCTCTTGGAGGAGAGCTGAGAGGTCTGAGCACCTGCTCCCTGGTAAGCCCTTTCCATGTACAGTGGGTGCTCCCTGCGTGCTCACACCTGCCACCAGAAAACCACGGTGCAGCCAGTACGGAAGGCACCAGACAAATCCGGCTTCCCTTGCTCACCTACCCCTCATGAACCCCCTTCCTTACGCAGCACCCTCCTTAGGCAGAGCCCACTGCAAGAACAGTCCTGACCTGGGTGATCCAATCAGTAGATGACAGCCGGAAGCCACAAAAACCACAATGAGCAAGCCAGCTCTAGGCCATGTTTCAGGCGGTGATGGGATGGAAAAGCGGAAAACAAATGTGCAACAAGCCCCCGAGGATGCCCCGAGGGAGGAGTAAGTCAGGGTGCCTGGGAGGGCACGCACACCCGGGACCATGCCCTTGAACGAAAAGCCGCATGAGAATCTGGGATGGGCATTTCAGGTGGCAGGCTCAGCGCAGGATCAGCAGGGGACAGATCTGGGAGGAGTGGCGAGTCCGGCAGGTAGAGCACCGACAATTTCCACCGTAAGTGACCTTTCTGCAGTCCACTCCCACCTGATGCAGTAGTAAGAGCAACTGGTACCATATTCCTGTCTCCCTACAGTGCGGTGAGATGGGTATTCTTCATAATCTGTTACAGGTACTCCCAGGTAAGCGACCTGCTAGAAGACTCACACAGTACCGGGAACACTGCAGAGGATGTCAGGAATCCCAGAGCCCAGCCACTGCCTTGAAAGGCTGCTTGAGGGAACATCTTTACTCCTCTAGCTTCTGACTTCTGCATAAAGGGTCCTGTACCAGCACTGCAGCTGAGGGTCTTGCCCCTTAAGGAGCTCAGAGCCTGGTGGGAGAGGACAATGATGGTGAAGGTGATGGTGATGGTGATGATGGTGGTGATAATGATGATGGTGATGGTGATGATGACGATGACAGTGATGAAGATGATGGTGAGGATGGTGATGATGGTGATGATGAAGGTGATGGTGGTGGTGATGGTGATGATGACGATGACAGTGATGATGACAATGACAGTGATGAAGATGATGATGGTTATGACGAGGATGGTGATGATGGTGATGACCATGATAGTGTTGGTGGTGGTGATGATGATGATGGTGATGATGATGATGATGGTGGTGGTGGTGGTGAGGGTGATGATGGTGAAGGTGACGATGGTGGTGATGGTGATGCAGCTGTGGTTAATGTTTACTGAATCCTAATATGCCAAGAACTATACTAACTGTATTTACCTTCACCACAACCATGAATGAACAGTATTGTCATTGTTGCTGTATATATAATTATAATTGCATAATTATGTATTTATATGTAATGAATACAATGCATGTAATGTACATTTACATTTAACAAATATGACTATTACTATTAATATAAAAACAATCATTAATATCATTATTCCCAGTTGGGGAAGCAGAGCCTCAGATTCTCATGTAATTACCCCAAAGCCACATGTCTGGAAAGTGGTGCAGATTCAGGGTGACCCAAGTCGAGTCTGCCCGGCTCCTGAGTCCTCACGATTTAACTGATGCATTACTTCCTCTCCATACACACCTGGCCACCCTTAGATTATAAAATACTTGACAGTCGGGCGCCTGGGTGGCTCAGTTGGTTAAGCGACTGCCTTCGGCTCAGGTCATGATCCTGGAGTCCCAGGATCAAGTCCCACATCAGGCTCCCTGCTCGGCGGGGAGTCTGCTCCCTCTGACCCTCCCCCCTCTCATGCTCTCTCTCAAATAAATAAAATCTTTAAAAAAAAAAAAAATACTTGACAGTCACTGAGAACTTATGTTCAGCTCTCTTGTGGATCAGGCAGACACTGCCTTTGTTCCAAGGTTCCAATTACCTGTTAATTTGCCCCAATACTGAACATTGACAACTACAAGGGAGAAACAGTTTAATCTCCATAACAAAGGACAAAATTTGGGAGATTCTAAATAACTGTTTTCAAAGAAGTAAAATCTAGCTTCTGAGGTAGCTTTTAAAAATAGACAAAGTGACAAAGCGCTGGGCCCGCTGGTGTTGGGGAAGATGCACAGTGCATGGTGCCATGTAATGGTGATGGTGCAGTGCATGGCGCCACGGACGTAAACCATGGCCGCATCTCTGGAAAAAGCAGAGGAGAGCTATGGTCTTCTTCCGCCTACAGCCGGGCTTTGAGGGCCCTCGGAAGAGCAGCAAAGATTTTTACCCAGTATGAATTCACGACTGACATAAAACTTGGAACCAGCTCCTCAGCCTGACAATGGTGGAACGGTTACTCTAACAGGGCATTAAATACCAAGGAACACACCGACTGTGAACCTAAGCACACAGGTCAGGTAAACACACGGGGAATTAGACACCAACGGACAAAGCAGTCACTCAAGTGTCCACGGTTGCTGACACCCAATCTAACAACCCGACCCACCGCAAACTGACCCCCAGCCAC